GCTGGCGTCACTTAGCAACCGTTCGACCGCGGGCCGGCGGGGTCCCGGGGTGGAGCGCCCGGAGGTGGTCTCCGGCAAATTCTGCGCCTTTTCCCCACCGGCCGGACGGCTGCCCCTCCTGAGCAGGGGGCCCCAGGGTGTGGCTGCCCTCCGGCACCTGGCTCCGGGTAAGTCACGTCACCATACGTCACTGTATGGCGTCACCGCTCGCGTCACTGCAGATGGGCAGGTCCGGGGCGCCAGTGGTGGAGAGCGCAGTCCTCGCCCAGGCTGGCGCGGACCGGAGCGGCGAGTCCCGCCGGGTGCCCGAGGTTGTTCAGGGAGTGGGACCGGAGAGGGTGGAATGACACTCGTTAACTTAGCACGGGTGTGATGAGCCGGGCCTTAGTAATACCCGGCCTGCCCATGACGAGATCATGTATGCAAGGGTGCTTTGTAAGTGTCAACCCCACTGCACTTCAAACCTCGTTCTCGAGAGAGAAGGCAGCTGAGCAAGAACCGTGAAGACCACGGACTTTGGAGCCCTGGAAATCTGGGTCCAGGTCTGTCCCTGGCTGATCCTGAAGTCAGTTCCCCTGGCGCTGGGGCAAGCTGGGGGGCCCAGGTGTGGGGTTTGGAAGAAACTAACTGGGAAGGACTTAATCTCAGGAAAAGAAACCTTCATGCATTTAAGTAGAAAGTGAAAACGGGACCAACAGATGGCATAATGGTTACGTCACTAGACTCCCATGTAGTCCACCGCAGTTCGAATCCTGGATAGGTGTCTTAAAACACACCTGGCTGGGACCAGCAGTTAGTGTAATGGCTATGTCGCTGGACTCCCACATAGTCAACCGCGGTTCGAGTCCTGGACCAGCTGGCTTAAACTCACACCGGGCGCGTGTGCGTGCGTGCCCAAGATCCCGAGAGGAGAATGGAAGAGAAGGGATCAGTGTGACGGTCCCCCCTGGGGGGGGGGGTGATTTCTCGCTTTCTGTCTCTATGTCTCTCTCTCTGGTGAGCGCACGCGCCCTATAGCACAAACCTCTCCAAAAAGAAAAAAGAAAGGAAGGAAGGAAGAAAGAAAGTGAAAACAGACAGGAAGAACGGAACTTGGAGCAGGGAAACCCATTTTGAGGCCACTGCGGTGCTCCTGATGAGAAGTGGTAAGCATCATAAGCAGGACATTGGCCCTGGAGAAATGGTGGAGATAGACTGAGCCCTGTTGAGATGGTATTATTGACAGCACTCGGGGGGACAAATGAGTAGGCTGAGCCACTGGTATGGGTGCTTAGGTAGATCGCGATACTACTTAGCAAGATGGGAAGGAAGATGAGTCTGGGTTCCCCATGGGTGTCTGATTTAGTCACTAGATGAGGGTGGTGACATTTCTTAGGAAGATGCCCAGATGTGTGAGGTATGATAATAGGTTCAAATATGGATATGCCTGTTGGAGAAATACTCTCCACTCAAAATGTCTTCTACCTTACAAAGTAATGTCCACCTGTATAATGCTCCTGGCTTCTGGCTGTGAAATGGCCTCTGGGAGTTTGCTATCTTGGTCTTATTTCTGGCCATTAACTAGTTAGATTACATTGGGCAAACCACTCAATATACCTGGCTTTAGTTCTCTTATCTGTCAAAGGAGAGGATCAAGCTGAGTGTATAATTTTCATAGTAATTCCAGGATAATCTCCCTAACTTTATGTTAGGTGGGTTTTCTTATAACAGCACAGTTCACTTCACCAAACATTGACAATTGCTGTAGTATGTGTTGGCTCTGTCCAGCTGCTATGGTTATGACAGTTACTCAAAAAAAACAAAAGTTTGAATGCTAGGTAAACACGCAAGTATATAACCTTTGTGTATATGAAGTGAAATGAGGGGTGTATAAAATGATACAGATGCGGGAGCAACCAGTTCTGCTTAATGGGAGTCAGGGTGTCATACTTTCCTACTGTAAGATGGACAATGTGCCTCAACAATAGACACAACTATACCGAGGTATTTCCATGGGAATGAAAAAGACCAGGAGAATTGTGCTAAGCCAGTGGTGTCATTTAACATTGCTTCCAGGTAGGTTTGTTGTGATCTGAATGAATATTTATGTACAACTGTTTCTAAGGTAGAACTGTTTAATTAGAAAAAAATAGACAGTTGAGTACAAGAATTATCTATTTATTTTTCTACTAGATCCAAGAGGAAACAAATGTCACACACTCTGGTATGCTTATCTAATTCTCATATCATCTAATTTCACAAACATTACCTTACTTTGTTAGCCACTGACCTTATCATTTCACTTTTAGCAGATGGGATGCAAAGTTTAGCTCATTTAAGCAAGGTCATAAAGCAGCTAGCTAGTAAACTAAAATTTAGACCCAGCACATGTGTCCTCTTTCCAGGAAGCCTTTCCTCAAGTTCTTGGTGTAAGTTCCCTTTCTCTGGACTAATAGCATAATGTACAAAATGTTTATTTTAGCATTTACTATAAGTATGCTTACTGTATGTCAGGAACATAGTACCTGTTCTCATGTTACTTGTGTTTAAAACACAGTGAGTTGTGGTCATTAGCTCATATAAGCCTTATAATAGCCTTGGATGTAGATATTATTAACCACAATATTTTACATATCAGGATGCTGAAGCACAGAAAAATTAAACGATTGCTCACACAGTTAATAAGTGGTAGAACCAGAGTTCAAATCCAGATAGCTGGATGTTGGAGTCCATGCTCTTAACCTCTGACTGCTCCTTTCAGACCATGCACACTCCAGGTACACGGAGGGACTCCACAGGACTTGCAGAAGTCACAGTGCTTGTGCTGTACGGTTGTTACATGTGGTACCACTCTGTGCTCCTTATATGAACACAAGAGAGTTCTGTCTCTCAGCCAGAGTCATGAAACCTTTGGCTACCCTTGAGTAACTGATGTGTTTTCTCTTTATAGGCCATGTGAATTATATAACCGACTGTTCCCTTTTCACTTTGACTGCCAAGGAGCTCTTGAATAAATTCGTTGGCTCAGCCGTGTAACTGGGAGGCTTAGCCTGCATATCTGCATTCTGTTGCTTTAAAATTGTGCAAAATAAGTGATTGGAAAAAAATAATCTATTTTTTTCTTTATTTTCTAAGTTGTTAATAATGTACATTTTATAATGAGAACAATAAACTTGGTTTTAAAAAGGATATTTGCAGCTTTGAATGATTTCTCATACTTTGTAAATAAAAACTAGTTTCAGATTAAATCGAATGAGGTAAATATATTATTAGAACGCCAGTTCTTAAAACATAGCATGATGAAACTCCAGATCAGTAGATGTGTTGTTCAGACAAATCAGAAGGTATTTCCCGTAGCATAAAATAACTGAACTGTAGCCCTTCTTAGCCAACGTCTGAATGCCTTGAAGCCACTTTTGGATCACCTGGACACATGCCTCCTTGCTTGAGGGATTAGAAACCCTACTCTCTTCATCTGTGTTCCTGATCATTTTGTTACAGTAAACTTCAATATATGGTCGATCTTGTTCTCATGGTTTGTCAGAAAAACTGGGTCAAGATCACCTGTTCCAAAACTAAAATAATTATTTCCATATGTGTTCTCCAATTTAATTGGCTTAGATCAAGTAACTAAATACCAAATTAATCTCTTTACTTAAAGTTGTGTTTTCCAAGTCATTCTTCCAGATCGATTTACTAGTAAGCCGTGCATTTTGCAGGAGTATTCAAATTTTCCTGTAGTCAGAATGAGCAACCAGTAATTTCTTTGAGAAATTTTCAGTCCAAGTCTTCATCATTCTCCAACAGGGCATTCCAGTGTCTGAAGGGCCCAGACAGGTGGATAAAGTGCTCTGTACTTAACCCATTCAGTTGTACGCACGTGGTACATGAGCATCCACGGCTGCCAGGTTTGAAACCTAGATCTCAAATATCGGTGGCTAATGTGAACTTTTTGGAAAAAGGGGGGAAAATGACCTATTTGCATGTTTACAACGTTCTGCTCTGTTCAATTTAACTTGATGATCTTACACACTTATTTTTTTATTTTAAAAGAGTTGTTTTATCCTAGATTGCCTATGGAGTTTCCCTCTATCTACGACCATATAAAAAGAAATGTTTCGGGGGCTTTTTTCTTTTCAATTGCCAGAGGACATGTGTGCTCCCAGAGATAGACGAAGAGAGCAAGAAAGCACCCTCCTAAGCTGGGGCACAATCCCAATGCCATCCCTTCTCCTTTTCTCCATCCTGCCAGGATTTGGGGCACCCTCATGCACACACATGGTGTGTTTTTCAAGTCACTGGGGCTGGGAGTCCAACCTCAATCAGCTATGTGGAATTTGGCTTTCCTTAACTGCTGTGATACAGGGCCAGCCCTGAGTGATGTTTCTGTTTAAGTGAGAATATTAATGGGGTCATTCATGCTTCACAGAAGGCTATCAGCCACTTAACCATCTGCTGATCAAATTTCTGAATTCTGAAGATATATATCTGCCTTCATTCAGGCACACAGGATAAGGAAACTTCAAAACATTCGTGGAAAAGTGAAATTAAAGTATGAGTTTATTTGGTGCAAAAATTTGAAATTCATGCATAGTTTTTTTTCAGAATATGCATTTTACATGAACTTTTTAAAGACCCCATGACTAGCTGTCCATCAGAAAACTGCATATCTGACCATACTGTCGTCAGCTCACGTACAGGAAAACCTTTCTCACCCCCTGCGGGGAGTGTTTACTGACTTGCATTTTCACTATCCTGGCTTCTGTATACGTTAAGGGATTTTGGAAGGGCCAGCTTCACAGAGCCCACTCGTCCACTTACGATCTGCTCTCACTGTGCACTTGATCACTTTACAGCTACTGCTGAAAATCTTGAAAGTTCTCTTTCAGAGCAAAGTATCATGAAATGCTTGGTCACCCTTGAGTAACAGAATGTGTTTCCCTTTTCACCATGGCTGCCATGAGACGCTGGGTTCAATTTGTGGCTCGACTTCAGTGACTGCGTGGGAACCTTCGGCCTGCCTGTTTGCATTCTATTGTGTTCCACTGAAACAGTCTATTAAATTGAAGTTTCCACTTACTCTGATTTGCCTATCATTTTCTGAATTCTGCATATAATGGCCCTGGCCCCCTTAAATTGTTTGTTAAAAACCTAGTTAAAAATGGATGATAAAAATACTAATGACTATCTTATGCATGGTCCCTTGCCCTCACTTTCAGGCAGGAGTTAAAATTTGCATACTGGCCAGCTGCCGTAGTGCACAGGTAACACAGTGCACTGCCATGTCGAGGTTATGTGAGAAGGTCCCAGATTCATGGCCCTTGGGTTCCAAGGAAAGCACCAGGCACACGTGTAGATGCCACGTGCTGTCTGGCTGAGACTGGAGATAGATGAGGACTCTGTTGGGGGTGTGCCCTCCCTCCCCTGAAAGGAAGAAATAAACTTTTAAAAAAATAAATTTTTTTTTATTTATTATTGTTTCTCAGTTTGATTAAAGAGAGAGAGCATGGGAGAGTAAGAAAGCAAATCACCGGGTCCAGGACTCAAACCGTGGTTGTCCATGTAGGAGTCCAGCACCCCAGCCACCACGCCACCTGCTGGCCCCTTTAAAAAGTCATATATACCCTTCCATGCCGATGGAATGTGTCTTGTTTATGAACTCTCCAGAGTTTTACATGTGTTAAATAGAGAAAGAACAATGAATTTTTTTTATTTAATTTTACTTATTATTTTTAATTTGACCAGAGAGAGACAGAGAGAGGGAAAGCAAGAAAGCAAGCTGCCATGCCCAGGACTCAAACTACAGTCAGCTATGTGGCAGTCCAGCCCCTTAACCGCCATGCCTTCTGCTGGCCCCAAACAATGAATTACTGTATCTAATGTTACTGTATCTCCACAGAATGTCATTCTCTTCACTTCGCTTTCTTTTCTTTTAAAGAAAGAGGGAGGCAGACAGATGAAGCCTACGTGGGAAGTTTCAACCCTAGGTTCTCCAATCAGATCATTTTCTCACAATGTCTCAATGTTCTCTGCTCATAGGCCAAAATGTGAAGGATTAGCTCTAGGTATAGCAAATCTAAATCATATTCTTTGTTTTAAACTCCTTCCTTCCTAACATATTAATGACCTGTGTGACATGACATCTATATCTGATAAATGACATCCTCAGATATTGTCCCATTAGGATGTAATTGGTACTTTTTTTAAATTCTTAAAAATTGATACATAATGATTTTACATATTCATGGGGTACAGTGTGATTTTTCAGTGCATGAGCACAATATGCACTAATGATAATGATCTAGTACATTAGTAGAGAGGAAAATTAGTTGCAGAACACTGTATATAGCATGATATATTTGTAAACAATAAGAGGAAAATTTGCCTTATATAGTATAGTTTTTTTTTTTTTTGAGAGATTTTCTCTATAGGGCGCGTGCGCTCGCCAGACAGACAGACAGAGACATAGAGACAGAAAGCGAGAAATCACCCCCCAGGGGGGATGGTCACGCCGCGATCCCTTCTCCTCCATTCTCCTCTCAGGATCTTGGGCACGCACGCACACGCGCCCAGCGTGAGTTTTAAGCCACCGGGTCCGGGACACGAACTGCGATCGACTACGTGGGAGTCCAGCGACATAGCCATTACGCTAACTGCTGGTTCCCTATAGTATAGTTTTCTATGGCTGCTATCACAAATTACCACAAACTGGGTGGCTTATAACAGCACACATTGGGCCGGTGGTTGGCATGGTGTTTAAAGCTCTCCACTCCCACATGGCCAACTGTAGTTTGAATCCTAGATCTGGTGGCTTGCTTTCTTACTCTTTCTCTCTGCTCAAATTGAATAACAATAGTAATTATTTAATAATCCTACTTTTTTGGAGAGGTTTTTGCTATAGGGCATGTGCACTCACCAGAAAGAGACAGAGAGACAGAAAGCGAGGAATCACCCCCCAGGGGGATGGCCACGCTGCAATCCCTTCTTCTCCATTCTCGTCTCGGGATCTTGGGCACGCACGCACACACGCCCAGTGTGAGTTTAAGCCACCGGGTCCAGAACTTGAACTGCAGTCGACTACATGAGAGTCCAGCAATGTAGCCATTACACCATCTGCTGGTCCCATAATTCTTTTAAAGTTTTTTTTCTAAATAAATAAACAACACACATTCATTCTATTATAGTTCTGAAAACCAGAAATCCAAAGTCTCAGTTTCTCTGAGCTGAAATGGAGGTGTCAGCAAGGCCATACGCTCTCCAGAGGCTGCAGGGAAGACCCAGTTCCCTGCTACTTCCAGCTTCTGGTGGCTGCCAGCATTCCTTGGCCTGGCACCACCTCACTCCAGTCTCTGCTCTTGTCACATTGCTTTTTCTTCTGTGTCAAATCTTCTTCCGCCTTTGATCGCAAGGACACTAGTGATTGCATTTAGGACCACCAGAATGCTCTCCCCATCCCATGATTTTAGTCACATCTGCTATGACCCTTTTCCTGATAAGGTAACAGTCACAGGTCCCGGAGGTTTGGTCCTGGAAGCCATTATGCAACCTACTGCAACATATTTATACATGTTTGTGAACTTAGAGAATGAGGCCACAGGATGTATCCCAAGTCTTAACAGTGATTTCTTCAAAGTGGATGTGAATGGGGAAAGAGAGGGAAACTGCTCGCTTTTTTTTCTGTACACTTTGATTGACTAGTCAAAAATAACAAAGTTGAGGGACCACCAGATGACATAATAGTTACACCACTGGACTCCCATGTAGTTGACCATGTTTCAAGTCCCAGACTTAAAACTCACGCCAGACACATGCACGTATGTGCCCAAAACCCCAAAAGGAGAATGGAGAAGGGATTGCGGCATGGCCATCCCCCTGGGGATGATTTCTCACTGTCTGTCTCTCTCTCTGTCTCCCCAGTGAGTGCACACACCTTAAATCAAAAATCTCTCTACAATAAATAAATTAAGAACGACAAAGTTGAAGGGGCAGATGGTGGCACAGCAGTAAAACTCAAAACTCTGTGAGGCATTCCCATGTGGGAGGTTTCTGGTTCAAGTGTGAAGATCTCCCTGAATACACCAGGCATATTGCTGCCCATGAGGTTAGATCGTGTATCAGGAATCTGCTGAGGGTTCTCTCTCTGTGTCTCTCAGTCTC